AAAACAAAGATTCCAAAACAAATACTGACTCGGTCCGTAGGTAATAAAATATGCCTACCAGGACCTCTAAATGACACATTACATCAATTTGTATAAATCTGCACATAAATTCAAGTGAAGATATTTTGACACTTTCCGGGGGGTTATGGACTATTTATTGAATGGAACCAGTTGCCGGGCAACCAACCGAGACTCTAGGAAGTTACTGGTCATGAAGAAGAAATACCGACACGTGACTGAATTGTCATGTGAATAGTGTGCTTTTTGCACAGATTAAGCAAACAAGATACAACTTAATAATAAGCGGCTGCTGGCTTCAACTATTTCTTGTTTAGACATGAGCCTCTTGCAATTCCCGACAAGAAAGCAAATAGGAGCATTTGTGTCACATTGTTCCTTTTTAAAGCCCCAGAGTTCCCAGAAAATAAAATGCACAGGTTCAAAACGGTTTGTCATTTGAAAAATCAGCATCGCTCTGTAGCTCAATTAATTTTCCCCTATAAACAAGTCCCAAAAGATCTGGCTCTTCCTCCTCCTCCTCCTCCTCCTCTCTATCACAATCTGTCTTCACAAAACACGGACAGCTTGCCTGACCGCCTGGAATACACATTCGGATCTGCTTGTCACTTCACATCTCCCTCGTTTTCCTCTTCTCCATCTCCACCTCTATCTGCCTTGCTCTGTTCCTCGTAATCTCTCCAGCCCGATAGAGATGTCCTGCTTTTAATTCTTCCGCCAAGGGACGACCGCGAGCAGGGGGGTGGAGGGGGGGGGCTCTAAACCCAAAGAGTTGGGGCCCTAAATGTAAACAGTGGAAAGCAGAGCGGCTTAAGAGGGCTATAAATAGAGCGATGGAGCAAGAAAGGGAGCGAGCAGGAGAGAGATAGAGCAAGAAAGCTTAGCTTACAGAATAAAAATTGCTTCCGACAGTCAGGGATTAGTGCTTCCCCGGAGGATTTTCACTCCAAAACCCAATCTGGGGTGATGGGAAGAGCAGCAGCCTCAGTCATTTTAATTCAGTTAAAACATGGCCAACAGGCAGGCAATAACCAGCGTTGATGCATGTTCAAATGCAATCATACAGGAATATACATACGTATGTACGTGTCAAGCAGGACAGCTGGGGCGTGTCAGTTTGAGGGCAAAAGGGAGAATGTGGATTCAGAAATGTGGTTCACACCCTGTGAGCTGTTGCAGATGTAAAGCTGTGGGTTTTGGTAAAAGTAAGATACACACACACAAATGCTACAATGTATGTACACACACATTCACACACACACACACACACAAGCCTGTGAGCCTCATTACCGGAAGATTACTCATCACCTGATCCAGCTAAGCTCGTTAAACAACCCTGTTCTGCAGCAAACACACACACACACACACACACACACACACACAGTGGGGTGAATAATAACAATGGCAGTACAAAATAATAAGAGATCAGTAGGAACATCCACCAATATAAATAGCTGAAGTTCACATATTTTTAGTGTCCAATTAAATGACAATAAATACAGATACATTTGATCATTTGCAAAGCGGCATTTAGCGTTATCTAGCCAATCAGAGGCAGAAGTAGTTCAAAACACGCTGCGCCTGGTTTAAACAGGTGTATAAATCAACCCATTATGGGCTTGACCCAGTAAACATGGCTCGTTAGGCTCTACTGCTACCTTATGATGTACTGCCGCATAAGACACACATTAAAACGTTTCTTTTGTCTTGTTACTTAACAATTACAGACACAACAAAACGTCTAATTGTAATACAAATTGCACTGTTGAGCTGCTAGATTTTCTTGACCAGCCACTTTTAAACTGTTTGTTGCTGAGACTGAAGCGGTGGAGGCTGAAGAGACATTGAACGTGTTGTAAAACCCGAACCGTGAGATTTGAGGGGCTAAAGGGTTCCATAAATCTGCAGCCGAGAAACGCTCGGCCCTTCATACTAATCAAAACCTTCCAAAGCCTTTTGGATCCTCGGACAAAACCTTAACAGGGTTTGATCTCTCAGTTGATAGAAGGTTTTGGAGATAAATGTCTGTGTGCACAAGTGTAGGTCCAGAGGGCCGTGCACCCTTCTACTGGCCAGCAGTGTGTGAGAAATGATGTGAGAAGTGTGTGTACAGTAACAGTGCTGCAGGCTTGCCTCTGCTGCGGCGCTACACACGTCTTAGTTACCACAGTAACACATTACCACTCAACTCCACCATGCTGCAGCCACAAAGCTAAATATATATTTATGTGTGTGTGTGTGTGTGTTTCTGTCCGTGTGCTCCCAAGCTTCAATCTTTACAAGGAACAATGCGATTGTTAGATCTTGAAAGGGACGACATTTTACAAGTGAAGCCATTTTTTACAACACTTCCCAAAAATTGGTTACAAAGTGGAGCACCAGACACTTCTGGAAATTGAAGTAATTTCATAAATGGAGAATTTTCTTGCAAAATAGAGAATTCCTTTTTAAATTACGATATTGTTGCAACTGAGAAGACATGTAAAACAAATTGGGCACCGAGGGCTATTTGGAAAAAATGAAGATACTTTGCAAAATGTTTAAAAAGTGCCAACATTTTAATTGAAGATAATTGATCTGTGGTTCACCTCTTTAAAGTTCAGTTTTGGTGGAAAGTAATTGCTCAGGTTGGTCCTAAGTCAAGGGTCTCACGTATTCATGTGCACGCATTTAAGCACAAACGTGTACGAATATTTGCCTGTGCATGCACACAAACATTAAGACATGCACTGATCACTAAAGGATGATTCTTACATTAACTGTAATGCAAGTTGCCAATGTGATGAATAAAACCTCGAAATGAAAACTTCCTCAAACCATCTGTGAGGAACCTGCAGAGAAATCTAACAATGCACCTTTTTTTTCCTCCAGAAGGAATAAAGTATAAATCTTATTGAGTGGGAACAAAAAATCCATTTAGAAAGTTTCTTTAAATATCAGACCGGCAACCGTCTTTGTGAGCGTTGGTATGTGGGTGGTTTGTGTCACACATGCACTCACATAGACTCACTGACCCGCCTCTGCACACTTCCTTGAAGCCAGCGGCATCAAGGGAACTTTGAGATTGATTAAATCTCATAAAGACTTGGGTGTGGAATTTCTACAGTGGTCTTCTGGAGCATGTATAATATCGGTTCGTCTTATTATTATTCTGTATATATTTATATTTACCGTAACTTCATACCGGCTCCTCATCTTTGTAGCACTTGTTTTAACCCACCACATGGTGGACGTTATGGCCTCATTCTGGGCGTTCACGTGGCATTATAAATCAAATAACAATAAAAAAAGAGAGTATAATTAGATTGAGAAGCAAATTTAGGCCTAAATAAATTGAGAACAAGCATTGTTTCATATTGCTTTGACTACTTTTTAAAAGGGATGAAATAATAAATGGTTATTCCAACAAACACGTCCTCAGTGCAATGTCACAACTAGAAACAATAGGTATTTAGTGTTTTCAATCCAAGCTCAGTGATACAATCACACAGAACACACACTAATCATTTGATACTGATGCTTTAGGTAATGTCACTTCCTGTGAGGCTGGACCTTGTTTTCACTACATTCTGTTGGTAGTTTAATAAACTGTATAACAATGTATCTTATTTTATAAATTAGTTGCATGTTTTACAAATGTATGGCTATTAGTAAAATGCAGCTGACTCAAAAGGTGCAATATTTCCACTCAAATGCAGCAGATAACACAGTACGATAAGTGAGAACCGCTCTACCGACTCCTTACCCGCTTAGTTAGGAACCTTCCCAAAATGCTCACACTGCTAATTAAATGAATGGAGCAAAGGGTTGTTGTTTTCCTGAGAGTTAAATGAGAAGATTAACACCGTGCTCCTGTTTGTACAACACGTATAAAGCTACAGTAGAGATAGTGGTTGGCCTCTGTTAAGGGATTACAATTCTTTACATTTTATAGAAAAAATCCTTAAAGAAATCTCCTAAAACGGCTACAACTGCATGCGAGTAGACTTCTTGAGGCTGATGAGGGCGGCGTGTTGATAGGATGGAGAACTTGCATTTTCAATCCATTACACTCTGACCTACATATTCCCTTTGCTTTTCTTCTCCCCCCCTCGATTCTGTCGCTCTGGCAGAGCAACTCAGATTGGTGTGAAATCGGCGCCTAACAGGCGGGAAATTGGCTCTGTTATTTGTGGAGCCGAGTCACAGGGGGACCGTCGGACCGTCGGCCTCCCTCTAATGAGCGGGCGACGCGGGCGTCTAGAACACAGCAGAGGTCTCAGATGGGAGCGGAGGGGGAAAAACGGCTCTTCACAGAAAGGTGAATGGGAGAACAGAGGGAGGAGAAAAGAAGATGCGAAATGGTTGTCACGTGCTTTCGTTGGTCTTTTGGTCACATTCGCCACACTGCGGCAGAGCAGCGTGTCGGGAACAAGACCACCTCCAGCCAACACGGCCTGTCAGAGGCTTCAGAGCATTAAGATTGCTTAAAAAAACAAAAACATCTGCAAGTAAACTTTGTACGAACCACCTCAATCTTGGTCCACTGGTCATGTTTTGGTCGTCATGGCACCGACCGTGGACGCAGACCATCACATCGATTTGTAGCGCCGTCCAACACAAATGTGTTCTCATTTCATTCGACCAAATCATAATTCATATTTTCTGCAGCAGAGAGCTACTTCAGCCTTTGCCTCGTAGTCCCTGGAAACTGCAGTGATTCTCATCCAGGGATACCTTACCCTCATGTAGCACAGCACCATAATGTACCAGAACGCCGTTCTGGACTTGGCATGCGCAGTGTGTGTGTGTGTGTGTGTGTGTGTGTTGACGTTGAGACAATGGAACAAAAGGGGGTTTTCGGTTGTGGCCGAGCATTAAAGCGTCAAGCTCAATCCTACAAGAAAAACGCCTACGAGAGAGCACGCAGGGGAGTGGAGTCAATATTCACTTCCACACTGGTGCCGTCGTCCCCCACCTGCTGCATTATTGAAGCTCGGCCCTTTCTGATCCAGACTGTTTATTCAAAATATTATAGATACATGCATGCAAGGACCCTGAGGACGCTCTGCGGGGACACTCTTCATCTCCTACACGGACACATTTATTCATTTTGAACGAATAGGATGTTCGAGTCACCTCCAAGAATCAATATACACGTCGAAAGATCCCTCGTGGCTTCCTGACTGGTTTCCCTGGTTTAACTGGAGCTCCCTCATGCCCACTGGAAGGCATCACACACAGTATTCACCACAGCCCATAAATTCACACAACGCAGAATTCAAGCACACAAACACACACACAGCACAAACCCTTGGCAGAGCCCGCGCAGCCTTTGGAAGGGGGCTATTTTAATCTCCCATCGCAGCAGTGGCTGAACACTGTCCCCTACAGTCTGACTGTCAGCATTCACGCACTGCTGTGCTGCTCTTTGGCATCACGGCCTTTTTCACAGCAACGTTTTAGAAAAAGGGCACAAGTTTTACAATTATAAATCTTAAACGTGGCACTTGCAGCGCTACAATCCTTAAAATATATGAACTCCTTCAAATCTGTCATGAAAGACAAAAAGTGCTAAAACAATTTGTATTTTAGTCTACATACTCATCACTGTGTGTTTTATCCGCATTAGCGTGAACAAGCGGTTTCTCTTTTCATGAACCCACCACCAAACCGTTCATTACATTTCAACCCATTCTTTTTGCTATTTGTTCCAATCAAGTCGTGGTCTGCGTGCAGCGGGTGCCTCATGTTTGCTCTGCCTCGTGGCGTGCCAGCGCGGGGGGTAGCGTGGACCCACAGGGGCCGTGGAAGTGGAACCTGAAACATAAAAAGGGGAAATAAACGTCGTGTGTGCGTGTACTGTAAGCGTGATAGAAATGAGTGACGGTTAACGGTTGCACGCGTACCGAGTGTGTGAGAGGAAAATGACACGTACTTGAACTTCATGGTGGCCGGCGTGTTCTCCATGTTGAATTCGGCCACAGGGACGCCTCTGGCTGCCACCTGAGGGGCAAACATGGCTGCTGGATACACGACGGACGAAGTGCCAACCTGCAGAGTGAGATTTTAATTGGAAATGTAAATACATCAAAAAAATAACTTGACGCGTTACTTTAATGCACATCTGGCACATATTTGTGTTCTTTCAATATTGGCACATTCCATCCCTTCCTTATTAAACAAAATAGATTTAACATATTCATTATTAAAAGTTTCCTTTTTACATGTAAGGTTTAGTATTTTTTCTTCTTCACTTGCTATATTTAATGTGACCGTCATGTATAAAAAAAACAGGGCAATTAACTTAATTCTGATTTTGAACAGCACAAACTCTTAAAAGGACCAATGAGTGGAGGTAAAACTACAGGTGGTTAATCAGAAAGCTTTAAAGGGGATGTCTGTATTGATGATTTAATCATTGCTGGAGTACAAAAGTGACACCGTAAAGGGATATTAACTTGTATAAACTTATGTTTACGCCGTACCAAGTTAACCATCCTCCAGAGACCACGGAACCTCTTACCTTTTGTGACAAATAAACATTTGTACAATTTATAATCAGGATGGAAATACAAATGGCCACTTTGTTTGTGACAATGGTATTTTTTCAAGACTTTAGGATTTTGGTTGTGAAACTCCACCTACAGAACACACACACACACACGAACGCACCACCAGGCAGAGGTCACAGCTGTCCAACACTTTCTCTGCGCGAGTGAGGATGTCCGAGTCCAGATTCTCTCCAAACCAAACCACAGCTGGTCTCAGGAGACCGTGACAGCCTTCATGCTCACACCTGAAACACACACACACACACACACACACACACACACTTATCATTATCTGAAGCTTTTATCCAAAGCAACTTGCATTGCATTTTTTAATCCATGTTTTTTTTTTTTTTGCATTTCGCCCGGGGAGCAGTTAGGGGTCGGGTGTCTTGCTCAGGGACACGTGGCCATGGGACATGGGTCGTGGAGCAGCCGGGAACCAACTGCAGTGCCCGGCTGCTCTACGCGCCGCCGTCGCCCAGACGTAACAACAAATGAGCTCCATTGAAAAAGAGCATGCAGGAAAAGAGAAGATGAGCGTGTCTCACCTGGGCAGATCCTGAACGGAGATCTGGGCATCGTTTGTGTCCGGGTCCGGAGCTCTGAGGAAGCAGTTTGGTAAAAGTCAGATTAGCCTGAAAATGAAACCGTGCACAGCCGTCAATGTGTGAATCCCACCAAATGTATGGATTCGTCTTTAGGGCCGTGCGACATCAATATCACTTGTACGGCTGGAGATTTAATCAGAATTACTGTTAACGGTCCGGTCAGATCAGCTGTTCCATCAACGATTCTGATACTCGCGTTTAATTTTAGCACAGGACTTCCGTCATTGTGTCAACAGCGCAGACTAAATTGATTAGTGGAACATTTCCGCCATTACAAAAAAAAACTCGTTTAAATGTCAGATAATTGACAGAGTGACATTTCAGTTTGGCCACAGCTTTTCCTCGTCCCTGCGTCATCACGTGTCATTCGGCGGCTGACATCTGACAAACCAAAACTTTTATTTTTTTCCCTCTGGCATTTTGTGCTCAAATTAATATGATCGATATCTGATTCTCATTGCGACTCTGCCAGGGGTCGTGGGTTTGTGTTGTTGCTGCGTGTTCTTTTCTGTTGTGTGTGTGTGTGTGTTTGGGGAGGGGCCTGTGTGCTTAAAACTTGCCCCGCCCGTCAATTCCTGTAGTTTCTTTCTTGCATGTGCTACCTTTGTTTGTTCACCCTCAGAGCCGGCCGGGGAATTACATTGTTAAGGTAAAACAATCCAAACCCCCCCCAGCGTCATCAGGCGGGGCGCTTACCCTTTGCCCTCCAGCGCCGCACAGATTGGGCTCTTGTAATTGGCAGCTTCATGACCACAGCTTATACAGCGGGTTTTGAATAGACTTCCTGAATTAAAACCACAAGAGTAAATAGATTATGTTAAAATTAGCTGTCGTTGTTATCCAAAGCGACTAAAAGCCAAATCAGATTAGTCGGGAGGACACTAAATTAGTAGCTTCGTCCGGATTAATGCCGGCATTCGGGTTTCATTGTACTTGCCGTGGATTTCCAGGATGTCGTTGGAGCCGGCGCGGCGGTGGAGCTCGTCAACGTTTTGAGAGACCACCGTAACCGTGCGGCCCTGTCTGCTCAGTCGCTCCTGGCACTCGGCGATGGCCAAGTGGGCCGGGTTGGGGGTTTTTGTGAGCATGACCTCACGGCGGTAATGGTAAAACTCCCAAACACGCGAGGGGTTCCTGGAGAAGGCCTCCGGGCTGGCAAGTTCCTAAAGATGAAATGGACAAAAAAAAAAAACAACAACAATGGTTTATGAGGCTGAAAAAAAAAAAAAAAAAAAAAAAACACGTTAAGAGGTGAAGCACACGGACTCGTCTGCACAGCAGCGTTTCCACAGAGCCTCAGAAAAGCAGCGGGGAACTCGGTATGTCGTATTCTTCTTTAAGTAAGAACTATTTTAAGCCAAAGTAAACCTTTCAGTCAAAGTTATTCGTTAAGTCTGCTCCAAGCTCTCTCGGCAGGATGGAGAGATCATACATGTCATCTGGCAGGAGGAGGAGAAAAACGTTGCGGGGCATCTGACCTACTTTACTTAGCTTGCTGCCAGCGTGACTCCACCCTGAGTAAGCATCAGAAACGTGAAGCAAATTTGAATTAAAACTCTGTCAAATGCGCTCGGTTGACAGTTAATTAGTTGCACCCAGTTTGGATGAATGCAATTTTGATAAAATCCTTCATTTTTTCCAGGTTCAAGTGTTTTATGTTGAAAACGTGAAACGTATTTTCTCTAAATCCCTTTGAAGGTTGCGGTCTGTGGTGCTCTCAGATTGCCTTGCGTTTTTACTACCATTAAATGAATGAGAGGGAGCTGAATAGCCCCAAAACCTCAATGTAATACCATACATTTCAACAATACAAGCATATACTTGCATACCTGCGCTTGCCATTTCCTCCAGTAGCCTCCTGCTCCTCTGAAGGTGGGGACCCCACTCTCGGCACTCACGCCTGCCCCCGTGATGATGGCTATATTCTTGGCCTGGGAGAAGATCTCCCTGAATGCTGCCAGGTCTGCAAACAAACGTGACCATATGCAATCACATGACGGTTAATAAAAGGCTCATGAATGGATAACTAATAGATGACTAATAGGAGAACGGCATCACCAAAACTGTGAAATAACAAAGCGGTATCAGTTAAGAATCAAAAGCACCTGAACTGGGCCGGGCCATGTCTCGGCTGCCCTGCGGCCTTTTCAGGTGGACACGCAGGTGAGAGTTTATTAGGCCTCTGTAGGGGAGCCGGCGCACAATCATCTGGAAACAGAAATGTGACGTTCTTCACAGTGGAAACAACTGAGTCGTTTGCCTAACGTCACTGCTTTATAGTTAAATTGTTTCTTTATCAAAACAAAACTATTTGCTTCAATTCAGTGCACGGCCACGTTTGGTCCGAAACGTGCATTTGATGCGTCCCTGCGAACACAAATACTTGGGAAACTGTTGTTTCAGCCCTGAAGATGAAGATGCATTTGAAACCGAGGTGAGTGCTGTCAAAGTGGCCACATGAAGAGGTTTTTGATCTTCCGACAGAAAAGCTGCAGGTGTGTGTTCTCCTGATGCGTCATGGAATAATCAGAGGTTAACATTTAAAACGAGCGCAGCATTAACACGTGTTTCGGTGTATTTAGCCACCGTGTTAACTGGTGACTTCCTCGTTAGTTCTCAATCCGGACAATCAGATAACAGAGCTCCTGCACAATAACCATCCCCTCCCAGTTAGCTTCAGCTTCTGTCGTTAGCAGGCGAGCTAACAGCCTGTCAGCGGGGTTAGGAAGAAGCGAGCGAACACACCAACCGGAAACAGCGACGTCCTCACCGGCGCCCGTGCGGCTCGGAGCCGCTGCGTGCTGTTGTGGAGGATTTGGTTAGAGTGGCAAACGTTACGCCGGGGTCACCGTCAGCTGGAGAGAGCAGGAACTCGGTCGGTGTTCTGGGTCTTTAGACGCTCTTCGGTTGGCCGACCTGTGAGAAAATGCGCCAATGAGAAGCGTCCGCGAGGTAAACAACACGCGTCCCGAGGCGCAGGTGTGACCAGCAGAGGGAGCACGTGTCCTCCTCAAAGCGCGTTCACGTCCATCTGACCCCTGAGATGCTTCACGAGCTGCACAACCACAAGAGCTAGAAGCACGCTGTTTTAAGTAAAGAATTCTGCCTTCGAAATGTCACTTAAAGGACACAAAATAAAGCTATAGGCCCATTTCAGAATAATGTTTATGTTCATGTATTTATTATAACTCATGCATCAATAAGCAGATTAGTGTTGCAGCTGGTAAAGGTGTGGCTTATTTTAAGTCGTATCTGAACCTGTGTTACATAATTCATTTGTTGATTCTATTTTGTACTGTAAACAAATAACTGAAGTAGTTAAATACATTTAGTACGGCATTAGGAGATTATGAATACTCTAGTAGAGTAGGTTTACTTAAAAAAAAGAGATAAAATTCGCCAATGTTCATAGCTGCCAGTAACAAAATAGTACACATTTATTTTAGTGCATCTTATTGTAATAATAGTAAACCATTGACAGTCATGTATATTGTTTGTCCACTAGAGGCCAGCATTGGCTTAATAAAAAGTGAATTATAACGCTTCATTTTTCTGATGTTTTTACTAAAATAACGCTGTGCAGCTTGAAATACAACTGAATGATTACTAGGTCACAATGGGATGTTGATGTTTTAAAGCTGCCAGGTAAGACAATAATATAAATGATTTAGTTGAGTAGAGACATTGCTAATATTATTTCCACATCAGTTTTGGAATCCTTAACACACGTGCTATTTCAATCTGGTAAAGTGGTGCCAAAAATTCAGGGATTTCTATTTTTTTTAATAAAAATGCGTTTACTAAAAGGGATACATACCTATTTGTGTTTATATATTTGTCCTTTGAACCTCAAGAAAATAACTTGTTTTCATCAAGCTGTAAAATGATCTATACATATATACAAGTCATACAAATCTGTCACAATTTCCCCAATCCCTGACGTGTCAATTTTCAAAATGATTACTTGTTACTACTGTTGTAAAAATCAAACAAATTAGTTGCAAATATATTAAAAAAGCAAATCCTTTTCACTGTTAAATGCCATTTAAAATAATAAGCAGCATTGTTCTGTCAATAAATCACAATGACGTTCAAATTTCACTGGCCACTGTGATCTAAACGAGTTATAGAACCCCCCTCTCTCTGTCACTCTCTCCCTCCTTCACCATCACCCCCCCCCCCCCTCCTTTCCCTCCCTCACCGTCTGGGCGGTGGACGAGTGGCTGCTGCTGCGCCGAACCTCTCGCAGTCCCGCCGGTCGCCAGTGAGCGCTGCCCGGCCGGCCGAACATGGCGGCGGCCCCGGAGGAGAAAGTAGACCGCAGACCGATCCGGAGGGTCCGGTCCAAGAGTGACACGCCTTACATCAACGAGGCGAGGATCTCTCTGCACCTGGAGACAGGTAGTCGGTTGTCTGTGTGCGTGGGCTTGTCTGTGCGTGTGCGTGTGTTTGCATCCTCCATGGGGGACTCTGCGTTCTCCTGTGTGAGGAATCGACTCGTGGTTTTAGCGGCGGTTCCCACGCATCGGCATGACTTTGTTTTTTCATTGTGCAGCTCCGATGGTGCTCATGGTGCTCCTGGTGCACCTGGGTGTATGGCAACAACATACCGACTCACGCTGCAGGAGAGAAAACGGGGATGCGTTTTCTAAATTAGGCTGTTTGTTTGTTTTAACCCTGCAGACTTCGCCTTGGTTGTCGGCTGCATTGAAACGCTGCGCAGACCCGGCCGCCTCTGGCTGGTCATTTAAAATGCGGTTTCTATTTTGCATTTGGAGAAGGTATTCGGTGAAGGAATGGATGCTCCCGCATGCGGAATCCACGTCGGATGCAGTGGCTCAATCCCAGTGTGTGCATGTGAAGGGAAACACGAGATTATTGTTTCCTTTTGTTGCCATGGCCACGATGGTACGGTTTCACGAATTTACAGATTAGCCCGTGTGTGAAAAAAATGTAGGTTTTCATGTTTTAATACGATAAACTGCTTCAACGTCACATCAGCGCGGAGCTGTCCACTCCCCCTCGGTGCTGAAGAGCCATCGAGCAGAATAGGCGATCGGAGGGGAAGTGATTGCATGGAATTGGCATTCCTCTATTGGTGATCATCCACATTACATGTATGAGAGGGCTTTCTTTTTATTTTTTTACATTGTGTTTGACCCTCCCCCAGAATTTTCCGATGTGACAAATCCCAGTCACATGGTGTGCCTGGCACACAAGACTCGGGCCTACAATTTCAATTTGGATCAGATTGTAGAAATTTTCCCTTTCTGGCTGTTATTTGCTTACTCTTTATTTCCCAGCGCTGTGTTCTTAAGCCTCTGATACTGGGGATACTGGGCAGCATTTGTCATCCATGAAGGCTACCTGCATTTAGCACGCTGCTATGCAACGGTTTAATCAAATCAAATAGACTCTACTGCCCTTGTTTGTTTTTACCTCAAGCTAGGTGATGCATCAATGTAAATAAACAGCCTTACATGAATCCTAATGAGATCAGGAATGAATTATCATTTGTTTAGCCTGCTTAGACCTTTATGACTCATGGTGCTCTGACCCATAATCTCTCTCTGGCCCTCAACAATCTTCCTCTCCATTTTGTTTCCTGTTAAACGCACCGCCTCCTCTTTTGCGAGATTAGCCGAGCCTCGGCGATGTGAGTAAAGCTATTCTTTCTTGCAGCTTTGTGTCAGGGCTTTCCATCAGGCATGGCTTGAATCTGAAGGAGGTTTGGGGAGTTAAAGGGAGGCAGGGGGGTTGCTGCTCGTGGCTTTCTGAAAACAGAGCGGGAGATGCAGTTGTGTGAAGCTGGTGTGGGATGGATACCGTTCACTCACCCAGCCAGAGTTATATTCATCTTCACCCCTTTTCTTGAACCCTAAAGCATTCCTGTGTTCTCTTTCCTGCCCCCTCCAAAAAATGCTCTGGTCCTATATATCTTTTCCGCCATAAGCCCACCCACCCGTCCTGATTTACTTCATGTTTCTGTGTTTAGCTGCTGTTCTTTTTGCATAAATCCAGCCCACTCTTTTCTTTGATGTCTGTCACAAATGTGACAAATGTCCATGACGCCAAATCTTCACACGGTATGTGAGTGTGTGTGTGTGTGTGTGTGTGTGTGTGTGTGTGTGTGTGTGTGTGTGTGTGTGTGTGTGTGTGGGAGGGTGATTGGATTTGAGAGCTAATCACCAAACAACCTGCAGTTGCTCTCTTGAGCTTGTTTGCGCTCATTTTTTTAAGATCATTTTACTACAAAGGGGCAGAATCATTCTTGCTCGTATTTTGAACATTTCACTCAGTAAATTGTGTTTTACTGGCTCTAAAGCTATTTTTAAAGGAGGAGGTCTTGGCTAATAAATGGGTCAACAAAGAGAGTGGCTTTGACGTGCCACATTGCCTTAAAGCCAATTAAGCATTGTCTAAAGCTACCAAAGTGACACTAGTGGGCGGCTAAACTCCAAAACAATTTGTCAGAAAGACAGCTGATGGATAATGGTGTTTTGGAACTGTGCTAATGTGCTGGGAAACATTTCCCGACATACACATCCGTCAGAAGTGCTGCGACGTAAGTGTTCATTGTTGAGTTGTTTTCGGGTCCACCTGATGAATTTGAATCAAATGTTCACTTTCCTTCAGCTTCTACTTTGTTTCGTTGTTAAAAATATCAACGACTCTTAGTTTTAGAGGTTTTGTTACACTTTCATCACCAGCTACCCTGTTTTTTTCCGTCTAGTATTTGGTGCAGAGCAAGTACTGGTCAAAAGCTGTAAACTGAAAACATCTGCAAACAGCTGCTAAAAAAATGACTGTAAAACCAAGACAATGAGTTTAAACAAGACTTTAAAATGCCCAGAGCTGGGTAAAAACATTTGCCGTTATTGAAACTACAATGTATCCGTCTCGTCTGTTTTTTTACTCATTGTGAGAATTAAAAGGGGCTTATTAATGTATTAGTGTTGCAAGTTCACGCTGCCCTACATCCTTTAGAGCCGGTGCGGATCCAAGGCAGCTCTTCTCTGCTCCCGCAATGTATATTGAGGTCAGCTCTCTCTCCTTCTCACCAAGACCAAGACACAGTCAAAACCAGCTCTCATTCAAGCCCAGAAAGCTCTAATAACCCCCTGAATGAGCGAGAGGTCCTGCATGAGTTGAGGTGGAGGAGCAGGACGGGTCTGAGGAGAAGGGTGGCGGGGCTTTTGGTGCCAACATAAAGACTGGCACGGTGGAAAAGAAACCGAGTTGGCCGTCATCCATAGAATGCGGTGGGAACGTTGCTCACGCACGTCACCTCCTACTATTGGCGTGGCTCTCTTTTGTTTTCTGTTTGCACATACATCAGCGCGGCTATCTCCATAGAGCGGCCAGGCCTTGAGCAGCAGAATGGGAGAACTACCTGCGCAGTTAGGATACAAAAGGGATAGTGGGAGGATGCATGAGCGCTTTAGATTGCCTGCCTCGCTGCCTACCACCAAACAGACAAACCCCCCCCTACTCTATGACTACTGGCACGCAGGTTCATCCATTCAGCTCAGACAAGCCAACCATTGTGCTCAGGGAGTAGACCTAAGACTGGGAAGGCTTCTGACTCACACTGAGGACGTTAATCAAGACGGTGGGAAGCTTTCTTAGTCATAGTGCCGGAGCATATGGAAGCGTGGATCGAGGAATCTGTGTTGTCTTTTTCAGAATTTCAAACATCAGTACAAGAGGTTCTCTCAGAGTGTCATGCTTGTGTTCTTTTCATATTTTTGTCTGGATTAATTAGTGTGACTGCACAGTTTCTGGACTTTTTGGTCTGTTCATTGGACTGATTCCTGGGTTAATTTAATGCATTATTATTATTATCTTCCTCTGTGCATTGCATTGTGGGAAGATATCTAAATGAGAAAGAAAGAGTAGCTGCTCTTTATTTTGTCCCTTCCGGTAAAGTTGTTCCCAGTAGTCGTGCATTCAGACAGCGTGTCTGAACTTGTTGCATTCGTCATCCCCGTGTGTGACAGGGAAGCAGTGATGAGTAATACCTGTAGCACACCAACAGAGAAGATATTTCCATTGGGTCTCCCTTTTTGAGGATAAGTGTACAAAGATGTTTTTCAACGGAGTTCTAATGTTTTCTTTTATTTGTAATGTAGATCTTTGCTTCATCTCAAAGAGGTACTTTATGTAAAAAAAAAACCAAGCCAATATATATTTTGAGAGCGAGAGAGAGAAAGAAAACTCATATCCCAGTGATGTGCCAAGTTTCACATTCACACACACACACACACACACACACACACACACACACACACACAATGCTCCTCCAGGCTCTGCTGTTCTGTCACTTTGAATTAATTCAGCACATGGAGGAGGGAGGGTGGAGAGGCCTGTGAACGGTAAGGAGGGAGAGGAGAGCAAGTAACTGTGGGAAGGAGAGAAAACAATGAACTTTGTGTTCCCGTCCTCCCAACACACCTTTTTTAAGACTGTACTGTGCAGCTGTCTTAATGTCAACACTGTTGGAGTTGGACAGAGAAAGAAGAGGAGTGTGAGGGTTTTAAACTAGAAAAATGCTAATAATCAAAGTATTACATATCCTTATAATATTTTGTGTTTCTTGACACACACTGTAGCATTAGCTGTATAGTCTGTCAGTACACCTATAAACTGAGACTGGTTTAATTGTCATCCACAGCTGCAAACATTTGATAAAAATGGACTATAATTGTCAATAGATCATATATAAATAATTGGTATTCTCCCTTGTTGGCACTAATTTCGGTTTCAGTAATTAGTTGAGTAGTATAACTGTTAAAAAGATATTTCATTGCATTTAAACTGAATTCTATGAAATAGGTCTTCAAAAGTTACTCAAAGTCACTCAATTTATTGCAAATAACTGCAAATACTCTAATAATGTCACAGGGAGAGTGGCGAAAGGTAGACTTTCCAGACGTTCAAACTAAATTATTACAAAAGGCCCACACACAAACAAGGACCAAAATACTAAGTAATCCAAAAACCATCTCCATCAACAAAGACAGCAACAACTCACCCTCAAAGAGACAAGGGACACACCTATGGAATGCCGTTTTAGTCCAAATTACATAAATGAATAAATACATGAAATATGCATTTGAAATACATCATGAAATAAATAAATGAGGCAATAAATACATAAAAATTAAATACATTTAATTATTTCATGGTACTTTTATTTCATAATGCCACTTTTCATTTCATGGTACTTTTATTTCATAATGCCACTTTTCATTTCCAGAGACTTTCATTTCATAATTCTGTTTTTCATTTTGACTTTTTCTCGTGCTGGATGACACGATTCAGAGGAGATTATGTCAACACTCACGTCCCTTAGCCTGCCTTCTTTTGCACACGGCTCTGTTGTCTGTTCTGAATGTTAGATGTAGCCACGCCCCCTGATTTGCATATAAGAATGTGAAATGTAAAACGGCATTATGAAATAAGTCTCTGCAAATGAAAAAGGGCATTATGAAATAAAAGACTCTGGAAATAAAGTGGCATTATGAAATAAAAGTACCATGAAATGAAAAGTAGCATTATGAAATAAAAGTACCATGAAATGAAGTGGCATTATGAAATAAAAGTACCATGAAATAATTAAATGTATTTAATATTTATGTATTTATTGCCTCATTTATTTATTCAATGATGTATTTCAAATGCATATTTCATGTATTTATGTATTTATTCATTTTTTTTAATTTAGACTAAAACGGCATTCCATACACACCTGGTTTAAATACAAGTTGGCAGGTGATTGGACACAGGAGGAAACAATCAGGGACACGGCAGACAATCACAGGAAAAAACACACCAGGGCAGGAGGTGAAGTTCTCAGGGACGGGAGAGGCAGGAAACTACAAAATAAAGCAGGAGACAAACCCACACCGTGACAGATAATGATGACCACAATATTACTATGTTTATGTTTACGGCTGATCATTTTGTCGATTTTAGTAGGGTTCATTTACTGTGAACTAGGGGAAGAAACTTGTTGGTTGATGAAGATTAACTTGAAGTGGGAGTATGTTTTAGACTGCAGTAGGTTTCCAGCTCTCTCAGCGGCAGAGCAGCACATTAACTTTCCGTTCCAAATCTCTGTCAGGAACGTAGTCTCAGTGAGACTAGATTAGCAGCAGCATTGTCAAAAGGCCAGAGGATGATTCATATTTTTGGGTTGACGGGATGAGGAGTTGATATGTGAGGTTATGGATAGTCATACATACGAAATTGGTTCAAGAAAAAGGTATTTTTGGAAAGATCAGGCCACAATTTTGTCCCAAAGGGTTTTACATTTTTAACAGAATATAGAAATGTTGCCTTTTCATGTGAATGAGGAAAAATATTAGGAAACCATTAGAAAGAGTAACAAGAAATTAATCCATCTTCCGTGACAGGTTAGGTGACCATTGCAGTGGTAGAATTACAATCAGAGACTGAAAGTTGAAATGGAGATCAAATTAGAGCTGAAACAGTGGATCAGGTTCAAAAGTAAACAGATAGGAAATTCAATTTTGAGCTGCCGTTGGGAATCAAAAATCCGCTCTGCATTCAGCGTGTCACATGGGAAGATGTGTTGCCTGAGTGTGGTTTGTTTTAATTGAACATAATACGGTTGTGAGTTCTCAAACCGTGTGATGGGTCTTTTTGTGTGCAAGTCAGTGGTATTTAGCCTAAAGGCATGATTTAAAGGCAAGTGTTTTAAGTGTTACTGGTAAGCAGGCCAACTTTAGGGCATCAGCATCAGTGCTGCTGTTGATGGTGGTACTTTCATTCGATAGTTAGGGCGGAGCTGTAGAGACCCCATTGATCCTGTAGTATAATCAATTTCACATTACAAAACCCCTCATATCACTCATCCAAACACAAGTTAACAGCTGTTTTACAGGAGGAAGAAAAGGGAAAAGAGGGCAATTAAAGCCAAAAAAGACAATATGTAAAACAAGCCAAGTTGAGTGTGCAACCCAAAAAGCAATAGGAATAAAATAAGAGGACACAAACCCGCATAGAAAAGGGTCCACTGCAGAGGAACCCTTATAGGTCCCTCCGGTCGGTTGACTTGTGACTCCTGGCTGTCCAACAACCCGGACCTTAAGCTCTGTTGCAACCCGACTGTGTGCCATCAAATACTGGAAGTGTTGGTCAACGTGCTCCACGGGCGGCGTGGAAGCTCATTAGAGTTGTCAGGCAGACTGGGCACCATAGAGATGTGACTCACTGCTCCGGCAGGTCAAAGAAAGATTGATTCGGTCCAGGCTTCTCCATCACGGCACAAAGGCACAGAGATAAGACACTCCACAGGCCCACCTAATGCTGATGCACGTCTGAGCTGACGGCCTACGTGAGAGACATGCTCAGACTCCTGGTGCTGGGTGATGGACCCTGTTGGACAGGATGGTTTGCGATGAGACAGGTGTGAAGAGAAAATAGAAACAGAATAAAAATAATGTGACAGCTGTTCACCCCACAGGCAGAGGATACGCTGCCCTCTAAGATGTGACAAGCACACCTGTGGCCACATGTGAGTGTGAGTGTGTGCGTGCAGTCTCACGTACACATGTGTTTCTGCTAGTGTGAGAGTAAGCTGGTATGTTTTCACGCGTGATAAAGTGCACAGTGAGCTGTAACCTGTCAAACCCTTGAGCCCCGCAGAGGCCCTCCTCAAGTGTGCAGGGAACAAAACCTTCCCGAGAGCCTTCTATTTCTTCTGCCTCTTTTTAATGTAATTTTGAGGCTTAAAATTCCTATTAACAAGACAGAGGCTGGAACGAGATGAGGCATTCAGGGTGTGAAGAGGTAAAAATAACGTATGTATTTTCTGATTTCCATCTTGAAGACATGTAAATAAGCCCAATTTTGTTGTAAATTGCAATTAGGGCCGTGTCAAATGTCAGAACTAAGCCCAAATTCTGATAGTTAGTGTGTGTGTTTCTTTGTGTGTGTTTTGTCTGAATGAGAGGAACATTTCTATAAAGATCTTTAGAAGAAGGCGCTAAAACGCTAGGACTAAGACGCCCTTGACACTGACTTTTGACACTGACTTTTCTCTGGACTGTATAGACACCATAACATTTTCAGTCATGAGTGACACCGTCCTGCCCGCTTTGCCCCGGCATGCATCCTGCTTTGCCGGCACACTTGAAGAGACATCACGGGTGCATAACATGGACGAGCGGGGGCTGCTGTCATCGCTTGCCAGCGGAAGGACCAGCGTTCGCACCGGGCCCGGTGGCGGGCTGCGACTACAGGAGGAATCGATTGGGCCGACACCTTTGAGTGCCCCCCGACATGGAGAGACTGTCATTGCAGCTGAAGAGCGATGTGACAGTGAGGCAGCTATCAGAGCTATCTTTCTTCGTCTCAGTCTGTGAGGAGAAGAAAAGTGACAATGAGAAATACAGGAGAGCCAGAGTGTGGAGAGAAAAAACCTGTGTGTACAAAACGAATGGCTTTTACTCAATATTACAAGCAAATATAAAAAAAAACTGTTATTAAACATTCGGTGTAATCACTCTACCTCTGTCTCATAGGTGATAAGCTTTAATTACCTTCTTGTGTGGACAGCAGTCAAAGTCCATTGAAAATCTTTCCAACCGCGGTAGAAAAAGGACAATTAAGCTTGTTTTAAACGTAGTGTTGCATAAAATACATGAACATAAGCCACACACACATAAAAAACTCCCTCAAGCACACAAGCCTCAGGCTTTGTATGCTCGTCCAGCCCGGCTCAGTCTTGTAACATGGAGGAGGTAATGGAGGAGGTTTCAATCGATTTCAGCCTCGTTACTTGAGCTCCACCTGCCGGTGAAGACTTGTAACAGCAGCCTGTGACCCTTTGTTGGCCTCAACAGAACACAACAAGCTGTCTCTCTGCCAAGCATATTTACTTCAGTCCTCTCATTGTTTTGAAGGTTTCCAAATTCAACCTCCTTTTATCTCTCAATAATTTAGAATGTATTATCCATGCTTTACTCAACTTCTATTTTTATTGCAAGAACAGGAGATGCCCGACAAAACATTTAATTTCACAGGAATTTGAGCCTCGTAATTCCTGAGAATTAGAGAGTGATGATTGTCTATTTTCTATTGTATATTACAGTTTGAGATTCATTTCAATATCCTATTGATTTGACATCTGACCTGCGTAGTCTATAGATAGATAGACAGATAGATACAGATAGATTTCCAATTGTTACCACTGTTGCGTGCTCAGTGTGCTTTTATTCTGAAAGAATCGACAGGAAGTAGTAGTAATGGTCGTCGTGTTTTTTTTACACTATGACTTGTCAGTAGTAGTAGTCAGGCAGGCAAACCGGAGCGGGTGGAGGGTCCAGCCCACGCGACAGTCTCGCCCCGCAGGACCAACATGTCGGTCCGTGGAGGCGACGTCACGTGTCCGTGGTCCGGGTCCGAATCCGCCACCGACCGCCCGCCTTCAGCGGCGGCCACGTGCGAGGACCGGGAGCCGACGGAGAGGAGGAGAGCGTTCTGTCTGACGAGGATCAAGTCCCGAAACGGTTCCGCCAAGCAGCATCATCAGCATCATCAGCAGCAGCATCATCTTCACCCCGCCGCAAACAACAACAACAACATCATCCACTTCGTGGTCGGCGAAGAGATCGGACACATCTGCGACAAGTGCCGCGGGGGGGCCGAGCCGCGGGACGGTGAGGTGACGCGGTGCATGCGAGACGGGGAGGAAGAGGAGGGGGATGAACCCTTCTCTTCCTCACAGCACCGGGAGCATCCCTCCGATCCGGCTCTTTGTACTGTAGTCTGTCTGTGATCAAGTCGAGAAGAAGTTCCTGTGGCGCATGAGCTCAGATTTATCTTTCCTGGGGCTTAAGTTTTGGTGTAAATCATGAGATATTATCCAACCGTCCAAAACAACAATACATTTACAATTATATAAAAAGCAAAAATTCCCAAAGGAAAAACTGGAAAAACTCAATATTTGTGCCAATTCGTTTTCTATCAATCAACAAATCAATATTTTTGCACTGATTGTTTCAGCATAGGGTCAAATGTGTGCAAACAATCTACTACTTGATTTAATTTGAAAATCCCTCTCTGGAATCATTGTCTGTCTGCAGATCAATGCAGTCGTGAAGCAGATTGCTTAAATGGACTGCTGAGTCAAAGAGATTTGATTAGTATAAACTGGTTTCCCATAAGTACAACCAGTCGATTTTTAAACGGCTTTTTTCCTGAAGACCTTCTTTGGAGCTGCTGGTAATTGTTGCTGCTATTATTCAGTCCAATAATTGAGTTCAATGACGGGACACTCAGCATCTCCTCTCCCGTAACATGCAGCATTTGTGTTTTCTAGTCACGTGAAATTAAAAGGGCTAATTTTCTAGTTTAGTTTTCAATTTTGTGATTTCTTTGTTTTGAGATATCCTCTCATACGTCCTGCTGAGGAGGAGCAGTGGAGGGGTTTGGGGGGCTTGGGGGGTTGTTGTTGTTGTTGTTCTCGATGGTGGCTGCTGAGCCGCCAACAGACGTATCCGATGGCCCGTCTGCACCTGTTTGCTGCTTCACGCCGGCAAAAACGTTGCCTTCTTCTTTAAAAAATATTGATTCCCTGAGGATCAGGCCTCATGTCCTTGTTTCCTAGATTCCTTCTTGTACAGAAGGATGTAAAGATATGATATTTAATGGAAAGATGCAGCCAAGGAGCATATCCAGTGCGCTCCACTGACTACGTCACAATTGTCCCACATTCTAGATGTTTATCATGCGTTTGTTCGCAAGATGGCAAGTGGTATTTGCGTCATATGGGACCCATTTTCAGTTTATTTCTCTAAACCGCTAATCAGTCGTCTATATAATGCAACACATAACCTCTTTGCCAATAAATTAAAACTAGCAGACAGAAAGGAAGCAACAAAATGGTTTCCGTTTTCTTGTTTCCACTCTGTTTACGTCCTCTCTTCTATACATATTCAGTTATTTACGGTCCAGCAGCTGCAGAGCTTGTTCTTCACTTGTGCTGCGGTGAAGCTTCTGTCTGCAGGAGGGGAGGATTTAAGAAACCTATTATATTACAGAAAACATGCGGTACGATTACTGGATATTCACTTTATTTTTTACTTTAAAGTTATCAAACTATAATTACAAATCCACCATATTGAACTGCCAGTTGATTTTGTCATTATGTAACTGACAAATCACAATGAAGCCGGTAAAAAAGAACATGTTTTCGTCGGTGCTGTTTACCTGCCTGCTAATGACTTTGTTGTTCCCATTCTTTTTTCTCAGCCGAGGACGTGGAGAGGCTGACGGCGATGCGCTCCGATTCGCTGGTTCCAGGCACACACACGCCTCCCATTCGGCGGCGCAGCAAATTCGCCACACTGGGACGTCTGTTTAAGCCCTGGAAATGGAGGAAGAAGAAGAGTGAAAAGTTCAAGCAGACCTCAGCCGGTGAGAACCGCATCACTGTATGACATCATCACCCAGTTCTCCCAGTCGGTAGACGGATGTCTCCCCGTGGCACCCGGCAACAGTAGTGGGTGATTTCATATATATTTTTATTCTGGTTTTCTAAGGCTGGTAAAGTACCAGGTGGCCTTTAGCCAGCGGTTCCTGCTGCTGCTGCTGCACGGTCTGCTTCAGCAAGTTCTTCATATCAAGATAGATTTACGTCAAACATGAACCAAAGAATTATGCAAAACAATTTATTGGAAGAATAAGGTCACTGACACACAAGTGTGTTCAGGAAATTAAGTCCGGTGAGGCCTCGGAGCCCGGCGGCGTCCCCGATGTGCCCGGGACGCGTGGAGCAGCTGAAGGGTCTTTTGTGCTGCTCAGCGGAACATAGTCGGGGTGCCAAGTGGAGTTCACTCCCCTGGGGGTAGAAAGGGTGTAATAATTCTCAGAAGACAGCGGGGTACCAAACACACCAGTAATGGACGACTCTGTAAATAGTGAGTGATGTTGTACTCCGCCGTAGTCCGTTGTCTTGTATGTGAAACAGTGCTTGACCAAGTCAATAAAAAATAATGCCTTCTGAGAGAAGTAACAAATTAAATCATATTTATTCATAAATATATTAACAACAACTAAACTTTGACGTGTTACATGGTATTTCACACTACTTTTACTTTGGCAAAATGCTGGTAGTAGTTTAATTCCACAATTTAGATTTGATTTTCTCGCTGAAGTTGATCGTTAACTTTTACTGCAGCAACAAAAGAGCTCTAGAAGCTTAATTTCACAATGAATTTACTCAATGTCAGCTCCAGGTCTGAGTAAATGTGGATGACGGTTCTCAGCTACGATCTGCACTTAGTGAAAGACTGAAAAAAAATAGAAGGCCTATTATTTTGACGGCAGCGTTAAAGCTGTAGTTGTTTCTCAGCTGCCATCTCGTTATTACTGAGAGACACAAACACACAGCAGAGGAGTGCAGAGAGACTTCCTGCTGTTTTGCCAGCTGTCCCAGCAGGTTGCTTGTGCTTATAAAAGGTATATATAGATATCGGCCTTCAGCTCGCAGCACACAGGTAGAAACACATTGTGAGCACGGTGTGTTGCTGCTGGACTCGCTCCTGGTGCGTTCAATCAATTATGAATTATGATTCCACTGATACAGAGAAAACCGCCATGCTATCTTGAAATATACGGCATTTTCTAATTAGGCACAGCAAGAAATTCCAAAAACATGTTATTCAATAAAAAACGAGTCTCAAGTCTCAAGGTTTTCATTAAGTTTAAAAAGGAAGAAGGTACATGCATACATAAGTAAACACATTATTTTTTGTATTTTTGTGTTCCCATCATTATGTTGGTTATATAACAATAAATGAAAAAACATATCACCTTTAATTCTCAAGCCCAGAGAATAAAAAACACCTTTAAAAAGACAGTTAAGCTCATAATTAAATTCACAATTTGCTTATTATTTATCCAACATGATGTGTTCATTTATTGTTCTGGGTAGCAACAAGGATGGAGGCAGTGAGTCAACGCATGCATTTGCTGCAGCAGATACATTCCTCACCGCTAGTGACGAGGTGGAAGTGCTGTTTGTATTTGTAGTACTAGTTGTTGTACTCAACTTCATGTCTCTCGTCCCTCAGTGTTGGAGAGGAAAATGTCTACTCGCCAGAGCAGAGAGGAGCTCATTAAGAAAGGAGTGCTCAAGGAGGTATATGAGAAAGGTGAGGGGCAAGAAAACGTAAAGTATTGAAACAAACTGTTCATTAGGAAATGTGTTGCTTTATTTGTTTGTTCATGACAGTTTGATTTTGAGCTTTTTTTGTCTAAATTGATTTTGGATAATCACTGTTGTTATTGTTGGGATCCTGATGATACAATCAAGCATCGAAAAGTGTTGATCAATGATTCCATTATATTGCTATTTTAACTTAGTTGGTAAATGTAAAGTGTTTTAACGCAAAACAGGATATGTTTTTGATTTGACACTTTATTTTGCATCAAGAAGTCATATCTATTTTTAATAGATACATATAATAAAGATGATTTTAACAAAATAAGCAATTTCTGAACCATTTTGTGTCCCTAGTAACGTTTTTATTCCCTCCTCCCGTTGTCCTCTCTTTCCCTTCCGTATGTAAAGAGGGCTCTTCCTCGGCTCTACTCCAGGAGGTGAAGATGGAGAACGGGCCTTCTCCGGTGCTCGACTCCAGCCCGTCAGAGTCTGAAGGTGCTGAGTTGATGGAAGGAGCCACTGCGGCTGTAGGTAGGCAGCGGAGACCCCCGGCACCGTAGCGGCCCTGCCTTTGGTCTTACACCGTCGGACCCTTTTCATTCCTGTCTTTTTGATCCTCAGGCTCTCTGAAGTTTCAGATGCTGAAAGAGGGTCCATGTCAACAGGACCAAGGCCAAAAACCCACAAAGAAGTCTCCCGTGTATGCGGCCGATGGCGCCGAGTCAACGCTCTCCAGACCTCCTACGCTACACAAACAACCTCCTGCTCCGCCCCCCAAGCCCTTCAACAGGCTACCGAATCACCTCGCAGGTACATTTGTCTCCCTGCGTGTGTTTGTGAATGCTTGTGTGGCTCTCGGTGGACATGTCTAATCTCTTCACCCCCCCCCCCCACCACCCTGCTGCGTGCAGATGGTGCCCCGGTGAGGTTGCCGTGTATGTCTGCGAAGCTCTCTCCTCCTCTACCTCCAAAGAAGCTAATGATCTCCATACCTGCAGGGAGCACGGAGCCCTCCTCGCTCGCCTTCCAGAAGTGCCCCCCTCCCAGCCACGCTCCAGTGGGCGGGCACTCCCTGCAGTACGGGGTGGTGGGGCTTCCCCTCCACCCCCCCAGTCGGATCATAGAGGAGCTCAACAAGACGCTCGCCCTCACCATGCAGAGGTTTGAGAGGTGCGGATCAAACAGTGGGACATCAAATCTCAAAGTGTATCACCATACGGACTTCGTTTTGCATGGTTTTATTTTTATTTTGGTAAATAAATGTTTCCTGATTCCTTTAATATATATGTTTTATTCATATAGCCTAAAATCACAAATTAGACATTTCTGTGCACATGTGACATCCCCCTGTCCGAAACTCTCCCATCGACACTCGAAAAAAAAAAAAAAAAAAAAATGAAAAACCCTTCGATGACATAAATATTTTTTTGGTATAATGCAGACAGACTGGGATAGAATAGATAGACTGAAGGAGAGAAGAAGTGCACAGTTTTGATGTTTTTCTTTACCTTCTCTGACTAAGTGGCCACTGTGTAATTTCCATCCGTTGGTTCTGAAACTTGAAGCCAATGTTAGATGAACAAACACATTCATTTCAGTCGTAACGCACAGTCTGCGCGCAGCTGCTGTCATTTACAACTTCATGCGACATCGAGCTTATCAGGTCTGACCTTTGCCCTTTCCCACCGACCTGCAGCTCCTTGATGCACGCGGTTCCCGCGGGGATGATCGACTGTAACAACGACAAAGAGAACCTCCCTGTGGGGGCCGACTACGAAGACCTGCCTGAGGAAGAGGAGGAGGAGGAGGAGGAAGAAGATGACGAGGAGGAAGAAGAAGAAGACGACGATGATGACGATGAGGAGGAAGATGATGATACATTCTTTACAAGTAGGTGTACTTTACCTTCTTCCTCTGCATACACACAATACATGATACAAGGAAAGGGAAGAAAAGGACTAATGCTTGGATTCAAACTGGAAACTGACGGCTTTCTATAGATTTCTCCCCAGGAGAAAAAAAGATGATATCTAGGACGGAAAATGCTGTTTATGTTACTAAATACTTCAATATAGTCACCAGCCAGGCGCAATGTGTGCTTTTATGCTGTTGGTGGCTGGCAGGAAGCGTATGGTGGATTCATCAAAGCTTGTTTCAGCCAGCTACTGCTGCAAATACTCACTGAACCGGAGTAAATGTGCCCTAAAGAAAAGCCTGTGAAGTGAGTATTGATGCATCACATGTTCCTCCTGTACTTTGTAGGCACACTGGCGATGAAGGTTCTACGAAAGGACTCTCTGGCCATCAAGCTGAGCAACCGTCCATCGATGAGGGATCTGGAGGACAAAAACATCCTGCCGATGCAGTCGGACCAGGAGAGATTTGAGTGGAGACTGCAAACCGCCACCAAGCTGACCAGGTGGGTCACGACACGCATGCAGAGATTCCGCGGCCACTGAGGCGGGCGACCACACACACGTTACCACGCCGTGCGCAGACGCCGCCGCCCTCAGAGGGTATTCAACAGCTGCGGTGGATGTGACTTGGCTGCGAGAGGGAGCCGATGATGGATTATCATAGTCGGAGTTGAGGGAAGGGAGGAGGCATTCAGTAACTGATGGGAGGAGGAGAGATATTAAGGGGGAGGAGCATGAAATAGAAAGTGGGGGACAGCATGTGGTGTGAGCATCATTCCTAAGGGAAAAAATCATGTTAAAATGTTAAAACACTTTCCCTAAAACCACAGTTGCACACCTTGTTAGATACTGTATCTAGTGATGCAACGAATGATTTCCAAACATTGGAACAATCAAAAACAATCATGACATGTTTTTTTCATTTAGTGTCAAGTGAAGCTGAATTAATGAAATTCTTCATTTTAGCCATTTATCACTACTTGTTGGATCAAACGGATGGGAAATTATGCAGCATCATCCCCATGACATCTTTCCTTAGGTTTAATAATGGACCAAGCTGAGAAATCTACACTTTAGATTGAATGATGGTATTCCCTTACTTCATCCCAATAATAACTTATTCATCATGTATTATTTCTCCATTCTCTGTGCTCAGGTGGATTTCACAATTGTTATTTATATCTTTATTTATAATCTTTTATTTATCATTTTGTTACTGAAAAATAGTTTGTGTCGCATCTGAAAACGTGTTCCTCCTCCGCTGGCTTCCCTGTTGACCGTCTCGTTGGTCACAACCGCCGGTTCTTTGCATCTCTCTAACAGCCTACCGAGTGTAAGCACCTCGGTCTGGAACCATCAGCTGACAAAGTAAAGCCTCACAGTGAAATAGAGTCCAGTCTGTCCACGAGGGACACATTTCGGCCTGAGACTGTATGGCTCTTGCAGGTGTGCGCGCACATAAAAAATGCTTCCGTAAATAGATTTGTTTATTCTACTTAATGCTTTAAGGCGACTGAGTCAACGGCCGACAGCGGAGGAACTGGAGCAGAGGAACATACTCAAACGTCAGTAACTTACATACGGTAAGAGAGAACAGACAGTATGTGTTAGTCATCCCCGTGTTTGATCCCGCTCTCTTTCTCCCGCCTTCCAGCTCGAAACGATGTGGAGGAGCAGGAGGAGAAGAGGGAGATCAAGAGACATCTGTCCAAGAAGGTAAGACGGAGACAGTGGCTCTCCACATGCACCCTCTGTTCAGAAAATAAATCATCACGCTGCTCGTCTGGCAGGATATCTGAAGGAAACTACTTAACAAAGGAATGGAATTTAATATGCAAATGTACTAATCTAATATCCACCAAGAGAAGTGAAGCGGCTGCCTTGCAGTCACAAACACAACACTTAACATCTGCCATCCTTTCTGCACACGCACACACACGTCCCCCTCAGCATCCGTGTTGCGGGGCATTTCGCTACCGCCAGTGACCCCGTCTCCTTTGCTGCCCCCTCTAGCTCAGCCAGAGGCCCACAGTGGAGGAACTAAGGGAGGCGAAGATCCTCATCCGCTTCAGCGACTACGTGGAGGTCGCCGAGGCTCAGGACTACGACCGGAGAGCCGACAAGCCGTGGACTCGGCTAACAGCTGCTGATAAGGTCGACAGACGCACAACGATGCTTCCCAAGCGCGCCGGAGTAGATTGTGCATTTACTGCATACTGTGTGTACTTTGTGCGTTGTTCAGGCTGCCATCAGGAAGGAGTTGAATGAGTTTAAGAGCACAGAGATGGAGGTGCATGAGTCGAGCCGGCATTTCACCAGGTAAGGCTGGTAAGAGTGAGTGCAGAGATTCCAACATACTATGCCAAGACTATTATGGTGTGTTTTTATAACTTCATGACCCTTTCTATGGTGTATGGTTTTTATATCTTTTTGTGACCGCATACTATATTATTACTTTAAATGACACTTTTTCTGACATATTCTACCCAAACAAGGGAGATTTAATTTGCTCAGGACAACTGTTATAAGTGGTCGTCAACATTCAACACAAAATGTCACTTTCAATGACCAGTGTAGTCTCAATTATTAAACTTAAACTAGAATCCCTTATAAGGGGACACATTTTCTAATCAGGTGTTTTTTCCAAGCACATCTGATCAATCAAGCGCCTCATTAGTTGCTACACAGATGCTACTTTAAAAAAAAAAGACCCCCTCTAACGGCCTTTGAATGAAGTGACTGGCTTTCCCTCTTGCTGCTGTTGTGTCTCCCTGCAGGTTTCATCGACCATAAGATGAATCTAAGAAAGTCGGCCGCGCTTTTATACCCCCAACGACGGGCCTCCTTCGGTCCCACTGCGACCTTTTGCAGTGTCGACCTCAAGCTGCTGGCCGGGTGCCGAGGCCATCACAGGAAACACTAGCAGACACTTTGAAAATTTAAATGGATTCAACTTTGAACCCAGAATCTCCCCCACAGTGGAGATTTCACACACATCTCAATATCTAAACGCTGTTTTATTTATTTTTCCAGCTGAAGAGGCAGCGATGTGGTTTGTTTTTTTGCAGCACTTTGTTTTTGGAACACTGCTTTAGTAAAACAGAAAATGTGCCAAGTTTGAGGAAGGCAAACCAAAGGTGGTGAAGATGGGACTTTATTTCACGCAGGGATTGTTTTCTTGCCTTTTCAAAATATTCTTACTGTGGTCGCTCAACTGGACTTGATCTTTCCTTAAGGAGTTTCTTGTGTTGGCACGATGTTACTCCATAGATGACATCCAGATCGTTTCTCAATTACTAAAAATGGCAGCTGAATCTTAAGCCTAATGTCCCAAAATGCACCCAGCAAGCCAGAAACACTGATAATGGAGATCTCCTCTTAACACGCACACACACAAGCAATAATCCAAGCTTTTTTTTTCTCATTTGCACGTATCTGAGCTAAATACAAGAGCTCAGAACACCTTAGATTTCAGATCTCCATTTTAAACCACGGCAGTCTCAATCTTGGATGCATCTCAAGTCACTTCTGGTGAGAGTTACTGAACCACGGTGCCACTCTGCCTTCACTATTACTTACAGGGATGTCAAAGTTGCCAAATTATATTGTTTGATACAGTAACTGATGCTGTGGACGCCGCATGACGCGTTACCGAACTCTCAGCAAAATCAAAGGTGGATTTGGTTTCCATTTTTTTTATTTTGTTGGTGCTGTTGAGAGGAAAATTCCTGCCCCTTCACTTTATTTATTCTTTGCAGTCCTTGTTCGGTACATACATCTGAGCATACTATTGGGACAGCTGGTTGATCTGTTGTGACCGTGTTTCTGATTAAGCGTTTGTATGTACAAGCGTCGGTATTATTACTGTCTCTTGAATGTTTAAAAATGTTTTGAAAGAAATGCTCTCAGAATTCTAATACTTGTACATAGCAAAGAAAGTAAGCAAGACTTTTCAAAATGTTTTTTGTAAAGCAGAAAAACTGCATGTGGGTATTACGTTATTGTGAGACTTCTATGATGCAAGTTTCTTGAAGAAAGAAACTCATAAAGATAATAACAAGTTAATGCTTCTGTGCCTTTGTCCCAACAGCGTTTCTGCAAAGCAGCGGTTTCAGTGTTCAGTCGTTTCCACGTGTGGTTCATCATATTCTTTGGGGAAAGCGTAGTTCTCTTCTTATTGAAAGTAGCCCGTGACGAGTCTTCTTGTCCGTCCTGCAGGGACTCATCCACACTGTGACAGCCGGTCCTGATGCATCATGGGAAAGCCTCTCACCTCGGGGACAAGACTTCCGTCGTGTGCGGAGCTCCATGTGGCTATACAGCATGCATCGGAGTGCCACAATACTTATGCCACGAGTCGATAGCTTTAGTCACAATGGCATCCGTGTTCTCCTGTGGTATCTGAAAGGGAAACGTTACTGTGAGGCTTCACAAGCGGGAAGGTGGACAAGAATGTAGCGGCGTTGTGCTGCCGTTGGCTCACGTTGCAAAGGAGCTTGGCCACGCCTTCAGGCCGGCTGATTCCCAGCAACACGTTGTTGTAGCTCAGCAGAATCTCCAAGGCCACAAACACCAGGACTTTACAGGACCCACTGATGACCTTGTCCCACACCCTAAAAACAAGGCATCAGCTTATTTCACCAGTGAAATAATGTAATGTTGAGACATTTGTAGCAAACACAGAGGGCTTAAGATGGAATGATAGTGGAAAAAAAGGTACCATTGAGTGTTGCCTCTCACTCAATATGGAGCAACAAATGGAATCATTCAACGTTAACCGGCAGTGTAGCTGCAAGTAGTTTTTTTTTCTTTTGCTCTTAGGGCCCATAAGTATAGTTGTTAAAACGGTCTCATAAGTGTTCACAAACCAATGCCATTTAAAACACAAGGCACAATTAAATGCAGAGCGATTATTTGTCTATAAATCTCTTGCTGTGCCTCGAATTTAAAATGAATTTATTCTTATTTCTACATATCATTGTTCAAAGAAAATGTACATGTGAATGGAATATTTTGGGACTGTTAAACTGTTTAAGTAGCAGGTTCACACTGAAAAAAAACAACAAAAAAAACATGACACCACAATTCATCCTTCTGCTGAGGATAAAGGAAGAATGAATACATCCCGCGCGTTGGCTTGGTGGAAGTGTGCCGGTCGGTTTGGGCCGCGAACAGTGAACTGACCTGCAGAGGCTGGACTCGGGCAGGCAACCAGCGAAGCAGCGTCTGAACCACAGGCCGTACGGCAGCTGAGCCAAGGCGTCGGTGTTCTTCAGATGCCGCAGCAGCCGAGGCTCCTCCTGACTCAGATAATGCTCCAGGCTCTTCGGCTACACCAAAAGACACAACAGCGGGGGACAACGAGTACGGAGTCACACGGACGTGCGTTCAAACGATATGCGATCTAAACTCCGGAGTTTGTCATATTGATTCCGGCTGTTAGGAAACTAAATGTACACCTCGTGATTTGTACGTTTCTCAGCACAAGAGAGCCACAAAACATGTTCAAAACTACACCCGGAGAGGAGCTCCTGAAAACTGGCTTTGTGTTTTACGAACATGAAATACAAGCACATTTAAAAGCCCATGTCAACATTGCCCAGCAAAAACAATACAATTGAGGGAAGCAGAGACATGATATTTCTTTTTACTGTCATAATGAATGACTATAGAGCATTTTTTTGGTATGGATTTTGCTTTGGGGTATAAGAAAGAAAATCAAAGCTTAGAATCGATTCCAAAAGACCTTCTGCTGACAATAATTGTGTGACACTTACAAGGTGAGGTATTGAGTCTCCAAACTTTGCGTGGAACTGATGGACAAAACACTTGATCAGCCAATAGCAGTCAATAGGATCATCTACGATCTCCTCCATGGATCGAGCGATGGAGAGGAAGTCCTCGTTCTCTTCGTCCTGAAGAATGGATGAATTCAGCACATTACTATCAAGCGTTACCACATTAAAGAATAAAGGTGTGAGTGGTACCTAAATACAAGCATTCACAGAACCTAATGTCCCAAAAATCAGGAGCTAAAGTTGTCCTCTCATTTTTAATACACTATTTGATCAACTGATTCTTTATCATTTCAAACATTTCTATCTAGACATAAATCACATTTTGAGTCCAAATGCAAAGGACCAGATGGACAATCATTTTCAGAATAGTAAAGCATTAAATAGATTTGAGTAATTGAGTCATTTGTCATCAGTATGCTCACACTACTATGATATCTCAAAATATACAGATTTGAACAGGACACAAACCAACACAATCGTCTACAACGAAGTCCACACCGACACACTCTCATTTGGGGTTGCATAAGTATCACAATTCCTACTGTTGTCTACATAACTCTGCATTAGGATATCAGAAGAGCATCTAAAATAGCCGGTGTGGGAAATCCCAGGTGATTTAGCACATTCATGGAAGATTTTACCCTATGCACTGATCCCCTGGTGCTGTATCAGTCTCAAACAGGACTCCCTTACCGGGCCTGTGGTCTCAGAGCACCGTGGAAGCACCTGGCTCTCCAGCTGGAACATGCGCAGGCAGACGTCGGTGAAAGGAGTGGAACAGTTGACGTATCTCATCACGTGCAGAGCTTCCAGGATGTCATTGTACTGCTCTTTCCTGTAGCCTCCCACCAAAGCGTGAGAGTCACTGTGGGGAGGTAGGATTCCTGCGAGAACAGGAGAGTTTTGTGCACAGATCACATATCAATTATTTTACATTTGTAAATTCAAGCTATTGAATGCGTGTGCGTCTTACCCAACAACACCTTCCACACATGGATCCTGTACATAGAGGGGAGGGGGAACCTCTGGCTGAAGGTGCTCAGCTTCTCTAAATCTATTAGAAAGATGAAACACATTCGTAAAAAGGACAATAACTGATATACATCTGCCCAAATTGAAGCAAATTACTGTTCCTGGACCATGTAGGCCATTTTAGAAGTTCATGTTGTTCATGTGAATTGTTACCTACCCAGAGGATTTTCCTTGAGCAGTATTTCCAGGGATTTCTTCTCCTCCACTCCTCTGAAGCCCACCTTCTCATAATATGAAGAGCGAAAATTTCTCTGCGGATCTTCAGCCATGCCTTTAGTGTGTACTGATACCGATACCGTCTACGCGGATCTGATTACTTCCTCCAGCACTGGACATGAGCTGATAGTTGCTAGAAGCACAATCAGGGGCACATCTTTCTGTGTGAGGCGAAATGCAGCATTTCCCTTTAGTACATTCAACGCTTGTTTTCTAGCAAAACGGAGTGAACATGTTTACCTTGTACAGGTGTTTCACGCAGACTCGATTGACGTAACGTTGCATTCGCTTTCAGCTAGTTAGCAAACTTCATAACTTCACTGTCGTAGAAGAGTGGAGAAAGCCCATACAAATGAAGGTTGCTGTTATCGAAACACTTCCGGGTAATGGAGAGACGGCGTCTGCGCATGCGCAGTGTGGTGACGCTGCGACGCGGGGGGTGTTCCGTTTGCAGTTTACAGTAAAGTGATTATTTGCTGCTCTACCGACACCATTGAGGGTGGGTCTTTTTCTTGCCCACATTAATCACATTGATCTTATTATTGCGCAATACAATTTGCTTTTACACAAAGAAATACAATTATTTGTATGTATGTTCAATTGTTGAACATTAAGGCATTACACACAAAACAAGAAATCAAAATTACTTGACAAAATAAAGCATTTTTAAAACTGCATATTTATTTAGTTATTTAGAATTAGAATACGGAATACTTGTTATTTTTAAGATTAGGCTAATGTATGAATATAAGTTATATGTATCTATCACATTTTACAGTTTAATCAAATTGTGCATACTGTGTGTATATTGTGCATTTTTTATTTTTCATTTTATTTACTGTACTGTATTGCTACTATTACACACACATTTACCCTTGGGGATTAATAATTAATAAAGTATATATCTATCTGCTTTCAACTACAGATTGAGTAGGTTATAGTGGATACAGCCAACTTTTGTTCTTTCACAGTATTTTGCACACCCCTACACAAAGCTCTTTGTTTAAAAAAAGAAATAAATCATTAATGTTTTTCTCTTACACTAAAGAAATGTCCCTGTCCAGTGAAAATCTACTGTATGATGTAGCTATCAAAAGTGTACATAAAAGCCAACAATGAATAAAAACAGTTTTCAATCCACAAGTGAAAAAGGCCGAATCTTTTTTATTTTGAGTTATAGATTATTGAACTGTTACAAAACCAGAAGCGCTTATGAGCTAAAAAAAAAACAATGGTTAACGACTGATTCAGCATATTAAAAAGATAATACTTAAGCCAAGACATATAACCAAACCCCGCATCCCTCCTTTCACAAAGCAGGCATTTCAGATTACAAATAATTGTAAACACAAGACAATTTTTTTTACCAATCCAACTGCTTGAAAAGAAATAGTATACAATGAAGATTTTGAAAAATACATTTGCAAAATGTGTATAAAGTCTATAAGAAATCTAGGGCAACTTAAGTGAACCAATTATTATACTACTATCCATAGCAGCACTAAAGCTAATCTATAAATCTAAAACTATATAAAAAAAAAAAGCCGGAAGAGCATTGTCTTTGAAGTACATTATGTTTTACATTTTCCTCCTCATATTCAACGTATTCAAGAAAGTTCTTTTCTAACCATAACGATTAACAGATTCTGATTCACTTGTAAAAAAAGATTCTGAATGTAAAGGATTGTTCTTGATTTATCTAGTGGAGTTGGAGAAGGTAGTGAGGCTAGTGCGAGTCTGGTAAAAAGTTGATGGAGTGGGGGAGCCCAGGTCCACACTGCTCCTGCGGGAGCTTCGTCTTGAGCTACTCCTGGAGCCGCTGGTTGATCCTGGGGCGGAGGAGACATTGTAGGGACTGCTGATCCCTCTTGAAGAGACAGATGATGCTTGGAGCATTTTCAACCCACTGTTTTCCTCCACCAGACAATTATCAAGCGCGTCCTTGTATGATATCTTAAGTTTGCTCTTGGGGCAAGTTAGGTTCTTTTTGTGGTGTCTGATGTCGTGGAGATTCTGACGTGTCCTCTCGTCCAGCCAGCCCAATTTCACAGCATCATCTGTGGTTCTTCTAGAGCCTATTTCTGGGTCATAAAGCCCCCCTGTTACAAACTGGAACTCCATGAACCTCTGCCCAGCCTCATATGGTAGCCAACCCTCCTTCACGGCTTGAGCAGCAGACATCTTCTTCCTGGTTTTGACATCCTCAAAGCCAAAGAAGGCTTTCTGAGCAGGCTTAAGCTTTGAAGCCATGTCTGCAGTTATTAAGTCAAGGCGTGTGGCCTCTTGGATGCTATGTCTATGGCCATTTTTGGGATCAATAATTCCCCCTGTGCAAGCCTGAGCCTCCAGTAGTCTCTGAGCAGTGATGGAATCCAACAGACCACGATTCAAAGCTTCACTGATGGATATCTTCTCTATAGTGTCTGTGTCAAAGATGGCACCTACTGGTGCCTGGTCACCTACTGTTTCCACAGGTGAGGCCAGATTGATACATACGCTGGATATACCGTGAAGGGAATCAAGCGAGTCTCTAGCTACACGGCTGTTTGAAGCGCTTCGCTCTGTGACAGTTGTAGTTCTTGTTGTTGTCATCTTGGCTAGAGTAGGTGATGCAGGTCTTGACAGGACTAATGATGATGAGGATGACACTGACGATGGAACCGAGGCTGTTGACGTTCTTAAAGTCGATGATGATGTTACTAAAGATGTACCAGGGGATGTTGATGTTCTTGAATTCATTGCTGATAGTGATGATGATTTGGTCTTGTTGCCGATGATAGCTGCAAATTCAGCAAGGGTGGTGGTACGGGATCTGTAATTATCTAGATCGGATTGATCAATTACTCGCTTTTCAAGCAACTCGGTAATATCATACCGCCTATCAGTCTTCTTGTCAATGATAACAAATTGTTTGGAACCATCTGGAGCAGTGATAGTGATCTCTTCCCATTCACACTCCTGCTCTGACAGCTCCAGGAAGGTATCGTGGTCAATAAACCCCTTGTCATACGCTTCACGTACTGACATCTCTTTATTAGTCTCTGGGTCTACGATTATCACTCTCCTCTTTCTCCGACTGTTCCTCTGAGTCGACTCTTGATCGTTCTTGTCTGTGATAGGCAGAAGAATGAGGCCAGTCTTTCTATCTGTGATACAGCGTTTCTTAAGCTCCAGATAACTTAGGTTTTCCTCTGTGTTGGGATCAAAGAAACCCTTGTTATTAACATTCTGACCAGTCATAAACTGGTTCATTTCCTTATCAAAGTGACCTCTCTTGTAGGCTATGTTCACGCCAATACGGTGGCTATATTCAGGATCAATTATACCACCACTGGCCATCTGGGCCTCTAGTAGATGGAGTCCATGATCTCTCTCTACCAAACCTCCGCTCTGTATGGCCTGAAAAAGGGAGATGACCTTGTTTGTGCCAGGCAGTCTGTAGCCAGTCACAGCCCTCTCTGCAGATAGCAGATTGTCTTTAAACTCTGGCCCAAACAGTCTCTGATTGTAGGCGTCACTAACTGTCAGGTAATTGTTGGTGACAGGATCAACTATAAAACCTGAGGCAGCCTGAGCCTCCAGCAGTTTCAGAGTGGTCTCCGGTGGCAACAGTCCATTTTTCATGGCCTGATAGATTGTCATCATCTTATCACTTGCATTATCATAAACCCCTGCTATGCAAGAGGAGCCTCTCAGGTACAAGTGCAGGCGGTCTTCAATGTCCTGCTTTGTCAGTCTGCCCTCCCTTAGTTGCTCCAGGTCCGAATGGTTTAAAAGGTTTGCATCCACAAGATCTATGACCGACACCTGGCCCCTGAGACCTTGCACAGTTAGTGGCTTTTTAGGTTCAGGGAGAAGCAAAAGACTTGTTTTGGGATCTACCTTGCAGTTCTTCTTCAGACATACATAAGTAGTGGCTTGTTGGGTGTCCGGGTCCAGATAACATGGAGGACGCTGATTCAGGCCCCGATATAAGTCCTCATCTATGAGATCCCTATCCATAGCAATGTCTTTGGATAGAAATATACTGAGGACAGGGTCCAAAATACCCCCCACAGACTCTTGAGCCTGAAGTAGACGTAAAGCTGTGTCCTTGTCAATTAATCCTTTTTTCATGGCCTGGCCCGCTGACAGGAGCTTGCCAGTATTTGGGTCTTTGTAACCTATTGCAGCAGCTTCAGCAGCATACAAGATTGATTCATCCTCTTTATCCACAACTCCTCTGGCACGTGCTTCCTTTACCGTCAGTCTTTGATTAGTTTTGGGGTCAATGATGTGACCAGTTGCTGCCTGCGCTTCCAGTAGCATGTTAGCACTGTCAGATGACATTACTTTCTGTGTTTTGGCTTCTGTAAAAGACATTTTCCCTGAAGGTCCTGCTGCCACACCAGCAATTGACCCTGTCCCCATCAGCAAAATCTTCATATCCACCGACACTTCTGTGATAGTTTTCTCTCCCTTCAATAGCTGGTTAAATGTTCGTTTGTCCAGGACCCCGCAATCAAACAATTGCTGTGCTGTGACTGTCTTACGGACACCATCAAAAATGAGTTTTGAAGGGTCAAACCTCTCAGAGAGTGGCAAAAGTTGCAGGCTTGCTTGAGGCTCTGTCTTGCATCTTTCCTGCAAAGCCCCATAGGTGGCATTACGCTCAGTTTCTGGGTCAAGATAACACGTAGGGCTCTGTTTCAGAGCATGGCGGAGGTTTTCATCTAAAAGGTTGTGCTTGATAGCTATGTCTTTGGGGAGAAACACGCTGATATTGGGATCAATTATTCCTCCCACCGACTCCTGGGCCTGAAGCAAGCGTAGCCCGGTCTTCCCATCAATTAATCCCTTCTTCATTGCCTCAAACACTGAGAGAAGCTGGGCTGAGCTAGGGTCCTTGAAGCCTACAGCAGCAGCCTCGGCTGTCAATAATCTGTCTCGATCCCTAATGTCAACCACCCCTCTGGCACATGCCTCCTCTACTGTCAGCTTCTGGTTAGTTTTAGGGTCAATAATGTAGCCTGTTGCAGCCTGGGCTTCTAGTAGCAAATATGCGCTGTCCTCAGGCAGGAGTGACTGTTTTTTGGCTTCTGAAAAAGACATTTTTCCTTCACGTCCAGCTACTACACCGGCAATGGCTCCAGTCCCTTTAAGAAAGACTGTCTTTTCCATAGAAACTGTTAGTACGGTTTTTTCCCCTTTAAGTAGTTGGTCAAATGTTAGCTTGTCAAGGACTCCACATTCAAATAACTGCTGTGCAGAGACTTGCTTTCGGATTCCATCAAACATTAGTTTGGAAGCGTCTTTTCTCTCTATGATTGGTAGAAGTATCAGGCCTGTGTGAGACTCTGTTTTGCTTCTCTTCTTTAAAGTCACATAGCTGGTATCCAGCTCTGTGTCTGGG